TGTGCACACTGCCCACAAAATGAGGTGGAAACTGAGCTGCACTTCCTAACCTCCTGCCAAATGTCTGACCATATTAGAGACACATATTTCCCTCAGATTACACAGACCCACAAATAATTTGAAAACAAATCAAACTTTATAAACTCCCATATCTATTGGGTGAAATACCACAGTGTGCATCACAGCAGCAATATTTGTGACCTGTTGCCACAAGAAAAGGGCAACCAGTGAAGAACAAACACCATCGTAAATACAACCCATATTTATGTTGATTTATTTTCCCTTTTGTACTTTAACTATTTGCACATTGTTACAACACTGTACATGTAGAAAAGGCCCATGGAGTTGGTGGATTCGCCCTTTAATTCATGGCCACATTCGCAGCTGGGCCAGAGCGCTTTAATTAGGTCAGGTGAAAATGTCAGACAAATCTCAACTCATTAAAAGGAGGAAATCACCACCGCCTGACCTCGCTGCTTTTTCTCCCTCAGCTCCGTCTAATCCAGACATAAATCCACCGAATCTGTTATCTTTAATCTGAACTATCTATCAGTTATTGTTCATAGTTATTACCGCGGAGCGTGGCTTGGAGTGCACGCTTCAAACCTATTGTGTTACGGCAATGGACACTGATCATGGCCCTACAGATCATCACAGGCCAATTACACCATTGTTGATATATGGTTAAAATGTAACGAAATTACATGTACATACGAAGACAAACCTGGAAAGGATGAAATATGAAACGTAATTATTATTTGCTAAATTGATAAATCCTGATATCAAACTGATTGAGATTATAGATTGAATAATTCCCAACTGATCGATTTATTTGCATTCTCATGATGAACGGTTATGATCCTAAATGACTCAATCATGCTTCATATTGAATTCCTATTGAGCTGAATTACCTCTATGTTAATGATGAGAATGATTGTTATGATTTGACTTTTGTGATTATGAATTTGATTTGATACATGTTATTCTGTTTCCTTTGTTATGCAGCACACACAAACTATCCAGTAAATATACCACTTTGTGGTAAAGGAATTCCTGCCTCAGTCTCCTCCATTCCTCTCAGTCACCTGACCTGTGACCACCTGTTCACCTTCACTATTGTCAGTCATCCTACCTGTCTGGCTACACACACAGATTCCAATAATCGTTCAGTATATAGCCATAATATGACATTTGAAATGTCTCTATTCCTTTGGAACTTTTGTGAGTGTAATGTTTACTGTTTATTTTTGATTATTTATTTCACTTTTGTTTATTATCTATTTCACTTGCTTTGGCAATGTAAACATATTTTTCCCATGCCAATAAAACCCTTTGAATTTAATTGAATTGAGAGAGAGAGACAGGAAGACAGAGATAGAGACATAGACAGACAGAACATTCTACCCCAAACCAGAGAAGGGAGATCAGGGGAATCAGTGGGGGTTTTGGATGTATGACAGGGGAGGTGTTGGCCCCCATGCTACGGTATCAGCCCCCCAGCTTCTAAAAACAATCCCCCCTCTGTGAATCTGGGTGTGTGTGTATTTCACAAGCTTGGAAAAGGGATTTTGGGTCCCTTTAAATGCACACCACGGAGCACAGACAAAATAATCCCTGGTCATTCAACAGAATAAAAGCTTTGTGTGTGTGAAAGAGAGTGAGTGAGTGAGTCAGTGAGTGAGTGAATTAGAGAGAGGCAGGGTGGAGCGAGAAAAATATTGTGTACATTGACTTTGTGCATCCAAATCTCTCTGACTCACAATCTCTCCAATCTCTCTCTTTTGCCGTGTCATTCTCTCTCGCTTCATCTCTCTGTCTTTTTTTTACCGTTTTCTCTTGAATTTGATCTCTCTCTTCCCCTCTCAGGACACATTAAACAACAACTCATTTGGTAAGAAGTACAGCTGGCAGGAGAAGGTCTCACGCTCATCCTCCCCCCTCAAAACAGGTGAGCTGTTCCACCACCACTTCATGTTACAGGAGACTGCTAGCTCATACCACCAGTTTAATCTTTTAGGGGGTTGCTGAGTTTGCTGATTTAGTAGATATAATTAGGCAACACAGCAGTAACTGCAGAATCAACCACTGCCACTAAAACGATATAAGTATTTCCTATTATCCATTCCAACATTGTCGAAAATCTGTCTGTGGATGAATTTCAGTGGCTCATTAGCGTCAGCCATATTGAACAGTCTGCTGTGGCTTAGCTAGCAGCCCAGAGCTACTACAGGTCTTAGAATGGCCTCTCTGAACTATATGTAAAACTAGCAGAGAGTGTGTTGAGTTACAGACTAGATGACCGATGCTGCACAACTATGAAGCTTCTAGTAGCCTAGCTGTCACTAAATGTGTTTGGAAGGAAAGGATAACAGAATCAAATAGAAAATGGTTGACTTTTTATTCTTGAAGCACATAGGGCTAGTACACATAAACCATTATTTTGAAGTTACATCTGTCTCTCTAATATATAACCGTATCTGCTTTAGGTCCACTAGTCCCAATTTGGTTTAGTGCTTTATATAGCTGTTTTCTTGATCAGATATCTCTTGAAAACCCCAATCATTAGTAATGGTTGTAATTATAACTTCATTTATGAAAAGCTTTTTATACATTTACATTTACATTTACATTTACGTCATTTAGCAGACGTTCTTATCCAGAGCGACTTACAAATTGGTGCATTCACCCTATAGCCAGTGGGATAATCACTTTACATATTTTTTTAATTTTTTTAATTTATTTTTTTAGGGGGGGGGGGGGGGTGGTAGAAGGATTACTTTATCCTATCCCAGGTATTCCTTAAAGAGGTGGGGTTTCAAATGTCTCCGGAAGGTGGTGAGTGACTCCGCTGTCCTGGCGTCGTGAGGGAGCTTGTTCCACCATTGGGGTGCCAGAGCAGCGAACAGTTTTGACTGGGCTGAGCGGGAACTATGCTTCCACAGAGGAAGGGGAGCCAGCAGGCCAGAGGTGGATGAACGCTATGACCTTGTTTGGGTGTAGGGACTGATCAGAGCCTGAAGGTACGGAGGTGCCGTTCCCCTCACAGCTCCATAGGCAAGCACCATGGTCTTGTAACAGATGCAAGCTTCAACTGGAAGCCAGTGGAGTGTGCGGAGGAGCGGGGTGACGTGAGAGAACTTGGGAAGGTTGAACACCAGACGGGCTGCGGCATTCTGGATGAGTTGTAGGTGTTTAATGGCACAGGCAGGGAGCCCAGCCAACAGCGAGTTGCAGTAATCCAGACGGGAGATGACAAGTGCCTGGATTAGGACCTGTGCCGCTTCCTGTGTAAGGCAGGGTCGTACTCTCCGAATGTTGTAGAGCATGAACCTGCAGGATCGGGTCACCGCCTTGATGTTAGCGGAGAACGACAGGGTGTTGTCCAGGGTCACGCCAAGGCTCTTCGCACTCTGGGAGGAGGACACAACGGAGTTGTCAACCGTGATGGCGAGATCATGGAACGGGCAGTCCTTCCCCGGGAGGAAGAGCAGCTCCGTCTTGCCAAGGTTCAGCTTGAGGTGGTGATCCGTCATCCATACTGATATGTCTGCCAGACATGCAGAGATGCGATTTGCCACCTGGTTATCAGAAGGGGGAAAGGAGAAGATTAGTTGTGTATCATCAGCGTAGCAATGATAGGAGAGGCCATGTGAGGATATGACAGAGCCAAGTGACTTGGTGTATAGCGAGAATAGGAGAGGGCCTAGAACTGAGCCCTGGGGGACACCAGTGGTGAGAGCACGTGGTGCGGAGACAGCTTCTCGCCACGCCACTTGGTAGGTGCGACCGGTCAGGTAGGACGCAATCCAAGAGTGAGCCGCGCCGGAGATGCCCAGCTCAGAGAGGGTGGAGAGGAGGATCTGATGGTTCACAGCATCAAAGGCAGCAGACAGGTCTAGAAGGACAAGAGCAGAGGAGAGAGAGTTAGCTTTAGCAGTGCGGAGAGCCTCCGTGACACAGAGAAGAGCAGTCTCAGTTGAATGACCAGTCTTGAAACCTGACTGGTTTGGATCAAGGTCATTCTGAGAGAGATAGCAAGAGAGTTGGCTAAAGACGGCACGCTCAATAGTTTTGGAAAGAAAAGAAAGAAGGGATACTGGTCTGTAGTTGTTGACATCAGAGGGATCGAGTGTTGGTTTTTTGAGAAGGGGTGCAACTCTCGCTCTCTTGAAGACGGAAGGGACATAGCCAGCGGTCAAGGATGAGTTGATCAGCGAGGTGAGGTAGGGGAGAAGGTCACCGGAGATGGTCTGGAGAAGAGAGGAGGGGATGGGGTCAAGCGGGCAGGTTGTTGGGCGGCCTGCAGTCACAAGTCGCAATATTTTATCTGGAGAAAGAGGGGAGAAAGAAGTCAAAGCATAGGGTAGGGCAGTGTGAGCAGGACCAGCAGTGTCATTAGACTTAACAAACGAGGATCGGATGTCGTCAACCTTCTATACATTGCTCTCAAAGTGTGTATTAGTGTGTAGCAGTGATGGCATGGTGAATAGCTAGTGTCCCTACAAGGCTCTAATGTTTTTTTACAGTGAATTTGTGCTGGGCTTTTTGACAGTGGATTATGACATACTAGGTCAATCACATTATATTTGCTGCCCACTGAATATGATGAGTATTGTGGAATTAGCTTGTAATCCCAGTGTTACCTAACCAACTTGACGTTTCTGATATGTGTGTGTGTTTGTCTGTGCATGTTGCTGTTGATCTGTATGTGTTTGTTGTTGTCTGTGTGTACTGTATGTGAACTGCTGCATATGTTTCCATCTGGGTTTTTATCTATGTGCCCTTGTGTGTGTTTGTGTATTTTCTATGTGAATGTGTACATGTGTGCCTGTGTGGACATGTTTGCTTGTATGTCTGTCTGTGAGCCTGTGAGCCTGCATGACTGTATGCCTGTGTCTTGTATGTATGTCTGTGTGACTGTGTATGCCTGGGTCTGTGTCTGTCTCCCTACCCCAGGTGGGCTGACCTCTCCCCATGAGCACAGCTGTCTGAGCGATGAGGACAAGCTGCAGCAGGGAGGTGGGACGCAGACCAAGGACCGCGGCACATCCACTGATGCTCCCTGCAGACACAAACACACCTCTGGACACACCCACAGCTCCGCAGCAGGGACACGCTCCAAACTGCAGGAGAAGCCCACTGCATCCCCGCCTCCCCAAAACTACACACCCGCACCTCTGGGCCCCTCATGGAAGGGCGAGAGTGGGACACACAGAGAGAATATCCGCTATCACACAGACGTACGCCTAGAACCCACTGAGGAGATCTATCTGACTCCCGTGCACCGTTCCGAGCAGGACCGCCCATTCCTGTCCCAGCAGCCAGAGCACGGACGCATGTCAATCAGCTCTGACACCGAGGGCCCACCCCCTTACCAGCCTCTGACCGACCGGACCAACCCCTCCATATGTGAGGAGGACGAGGTGTATGTGCCCCCTCCCTCCTACGCCTCCTGTGTGGAGGCTCTCCTCACCCCCCCCTCTACCGCCCCCCCCAGGGAACCCCCAGCCTTAGCCCTGAACCTCAGCCTGAGGGAAGGAGGAGCAGGGGCGGTGGTGAGGGCAGGGGTAGGGGTGGAGTATGTAGATGCCCAGGACGAGACATTTGGGGGAGAGGGTGAGGCTGAGAATGAGAGGGTAAGGGATGTGGGAGGCAGGCAGTATTTGGGACGTGGCGGCTGTGGTGCCCCCCCGAGGACTTTGATGAGCTCGGAAGCGAGTGGTCTGTCTTACGACTCTGTGAAGTACACACTCGTTGTGGACGAGCACGCACAGCTCGAACTGGTGAGTCTGCAGCAGTGTTACCAATGTTACAGCGACGACAGCGACTCTGCGACCGTCTACGACAATTGTGTCTCGTCTCCGTACGAGTCGGCCATCGGGGAGGAGTATGAGGAGGAAGAGGAAGAAGAAGATAAAGAGGATGAGAGAGCGAGAGTGGAATGGGTGAGGAGAGAAGCAACCGCCTGTCTGTCAGAGGACTCCACCCCAGAGGCGAACCTACACTTCTCTAAGAAGTTCCTCAACATCTTCATGAACAGACGGTCACGATCGTCCAGTAGGTACCACCACTGAACCACAAGGACACCATCTTTTGTTCAGACACTGCAGTTTCTTACATTAGGCTTAAAGGGCAACTCCCTCACTTTTCATTATCTCCAGCACAATACGAGTGTCAACATATGTGTCAACATATGTGAAAATGGCGCATTTCTAAGTTTTGTAGGAACAAATATAAAGTTCATGTGTCACTGATCTACACACAATACCCCATAATGTCAAAGTGGAATTTTGTTTGTAGAAAATGTTGGAATTAATAAAAAAATGTAAGCTGACATGTCTTGAGTTAATAAGTATTCAACCCCTTTGTTATGGCAAGCCTAAATAAGTTCAGGAGTAAAACTGTGCTTACCAAATCGCATAATAAATTGCATTGACACATCCGTGTTCAATCATAGTGATTAACATTATTTTTTAATGACTACAGTGGCTTGCGAAAGTATTCACTCCCCTTGGCATTTTTCCTATTTTGTTGCCTTACAACCTGGAATTAAAATTGATTTTGTCGGTGTTTGTATCATTTGATTTACACAACAAAACTAGAAATAAGAAAAAAAAACTGAAATCTTGAGCATATATAACTATTCACCCCCCCCCCCCCCCCCCAAAAGTCAATACTTTGTAGAGCCACCTTTTGAAGCAATTACAGCTGCAAGTCTCTTGGGGTATGCCTCTATAAGCTTGGCACATCTAGCCACTGGGATTTTTGCCCATTCTTCAAGGCAAAACTGCTCCAGCTCCTTCAAGTTGGATGGGTTCCGCTGGTGTACAGCAATCTTTATGTCATACCACAGATTCTCAATAGTCTGGGCTTTGACTAGGCCATTGCAGGACATTTACATGTTTCCCCTTAAACCACTCGAGTGTTGCTTTAGCAGTTTGCTTAGGGTCATTGTCCTGCTGGAAGGTGAACCTCCGTCCCAGTCTCAAATCTCTGGAAGACTGAAACAGGTTTCCCTCAAGAAATTCCCTGTATTTAGCGCCATCCATCATTCCTTCAATTCTGACCAGTTTCCCAGTCCCTGCCGATGAAAAACACCCCCACAGCATGATGCTGCCACCACCATGCTTCACTGTGGGGATGGTGTTCTCGGGGTGATGAGAAGTGTTGGGTTTGCGCCAGACATAGCGTTATCCTTGATGGCCAAAAAGCTCAATTTTTGTCTCATCTGACCAGAGTACCTTCTTCCATATGTTTGGGGAGTCTCCCACATGCCTTTTGGCGAACACCAAACGTGTTTGCTTATTTTTTTCTTTAAGCAATGGCTTTTTTCTGGCCACTCTTCCGTTAAGCTCAGCTCTGTGGAGTGTACGCCTTAAAGTGGTCCTATGGACAGATACTTCAATCTCCGCTGTGGAGCTTTGCAGCTCCGTCAGGGTTATCTTTAGTCTCTTTGTTGCCTTTCTGATTAATGCCCTCCTTGCCTGGTCCATGACTTTTGGTGGGCGGCCCTCTTTTGGCAGGTTTGTTGTGGTACCATATTCTTTCCATTTTTTATAATGGATTTGATGGTGCTTCGTGGGATGTTCAAAGTTTCTGATATTTATTTATAACCCAACCCTGATCTCTACTTCTCCACAACTTTGTCCCTGACCTGTTTGGAGAGCTCCTTGGTCATCATGGTGCCTCTTGCTTGGTGGTGCCCCTTGCTTAGTGGTGCTGCAGACTCTGGGGCCTTTCAGAACAGGTGTATATATACTGAGATCATGTGACAGATCATGTGACACTTAGATTATAATATGCCATTTAGCAGACGCTTTTATCCAAAGCGACTTACAGTCATGCGTGCATACAGTTTTGTGTATGGGTGGTCCCGGGGATCGAACCCACTACCCTGGCGTTACAAGCGCTGTGCTTTACCCGAACACAGGTGGACTTTATTTAACTAATTATGTGACTTCTGAAGGTAATTAGTTGCACCAGATCTTATTTAGGGGCTTCATAGCAAAGGGGGTGAACACATATGCACACACCACTTTTACATTTATTTTTTCAAAATTTTTGAAACAAGTTATTTTTTTAATTTCACTTCACCAATTTTGACTATTTTGTGTATGTCCATTATATTAAATCCAAAGAAAATCAATTTAAATTACAGGTTGTAATGCAACAAAATAGGAAAAATTCCAAGGGGGTTGAATACTTTTGCAAGGCACTGTATCTCATCTCTGTACGCCACACATATCATTATCTGTAAGGTCCCTCAATCGAGTAGTGAATTTAATAATAATAATAACAATAATAAATAATTTATTAATAATAATAATAATAATAATAATAATAATAATATAATTATAATTATTATTATAATTTCAAGCACAGATTCAACCACAAAGACCAGGGAGGTTTTTCAATGCCTCGCAAAGAAGGACATAGATTGTTAGATGTGTAAAAAAAGAAAAAACTGATGCTGAATATTCCTTTGAGCATGGTGAAGTTATTAATTTCACTTTGGATGGTGTATCAATACAGCCAGTCACTACAAAGATACAGGCGTCCTTCCTAACTCAGTTGTTGGACAGGACGGAAACTGCTCAGGGATTTCACCATGAGGCCAATGGTGATTTTAAAACAGTTACAGAGTTTAATGACTGTGACAGGAGAAACATTTTGTTCTGAATACAAAGCGTTATGTTTGGGGAAAATCCAACACAACACATCACTGAATACAACTCTTCATATTTTCCAGCATGGTGGTGGCTGCATCATGTTATGGGTATGCTTTTCATCGGCAAGGACTAGGGAATTTGTTAGAATAAAAAGAAACGGAATACAGCTATAAGCAGAGGAAAACCTGTTTCATTCTGCTTTCCAACAGACACTGGGAGACTAATTCACCTTTCAGCAGGACGATAACCTAAAACACAAAGCCAAATCTACACTGGTGTTGCTTACCAAGACGCCATTGAATGTACCATAGTGGCCTAGTTACAGTTTCGAATTAAATCGGCTTGAAACTCTATGGCAAAACTTGAAAATGGCTGTCTAGCAATGACCAACCATCAACTTGACAGAGCTTGAAGAATTTTTAATAGAATAATGGGCAAATATTGTACATTCCAGGTGTTTTGGTTAAGTGCTCTTAGAGACTTAACCAAAAAGATTCACAGCTGCAATCGCCGCCAAAGGTGCTTAAACAAAGTATTGACTCAGGGGTGTGAATACTTATGTATTCAAAATTTTTCTGCATTTAATTTTCAATACATTTGCAAAGATTTCTACAAATATTTTTCACTTTGTCATTATGGGGTATTATGAGTAGATGGGTGAGAAAAACATATATTTCATCCATGCAGCCCTTGGAAACAGCACTTCAGAATAAAAACGAATCCTCTTTTACTCCCAACTTCTCCAGCTGCAGAGTCGTTTTGCTTGTTCTCCTGCATCATAAATGGGGAGGAGAGGGAACAGAGTCACAGAGCCGTCTACAGGTGAGATACATCTTTATTATCATCATCACATCATCAGTCATCGTCATCACCTGCACTACTGCTAATTACATTTTGCAGGTATTTATACAAAGTGACTTATTAAACACATCCTTTCAGTATATAGCTGATGTGGGAATTGAACCCACAACTATATCCTAGCACTGATTAAGCAAATACCTCTAACCCGTCATACTTACTCATAGCACTTAGGTAATCCTAACCACTAAATTAATTTACCTTTTACACTTTAGCATTGCTTTGTAGCATTTAGTAATGTGACTTGTAAGTTATCCTCCATGACATATAGATTTGACAGGCCAAATGGGTCTCTTGGAATCATTAGAGCAGAAAAACCTATGTATAGTTGCGTCGTTCCACAAATAGAGTACATTTTGTGTCCCTTTGATATTTTAAGTAGAAATTGTGCACAAATATTGCATTTTAAAAGACTATTACAGTATATTAAATTAAGTTCTCTTTAATATAGACCACATGGACAAGTCAGTAAATCAATTTTTTCATATGAATAAAGACTTGCTAAAGTGCCAAAAATCTGCATTTAGACATGCCACTTGTCATGTTTTTCTGACTTCTAGGAAGATTTTAACCCACTTAACCAAAACATTTCTCCAAGTTTTCACCATCATTGTAAAGCCATAGTTATGTTCTTGCTTTGACAAAGTCATTTCCGAAGATTATTGATTTCATGTGATTTGTGATTAATATATGTCTGTCCCTCATGTTAAGGTCAACCCCTGTTACGTGAACTGAATTATCGTTTTAATATGGTGAAACTACTACTTTTTAAAGGGACACTACGAGATTTGGGGATTTAATTTATTTACCTAGAAAGATTAACTCATCAATACCATTTTTATGTCTCGGTATGCAGTTTGAAGGTAATTGACATTAGCTTATCGTTAGCATAGCACAATAGCTGGAAGTCTCCAGGTACAGTAGCCAGCACCTCTCAAAAGCAGGGAAATATACCTTCTAACTATTCCAAAGCTGGTTGGTTGGTCATTTATAGTCCTACATAGTAATTTATATTTTATAAATTCTCACAGGACACTCACAAACTATATTGGACATGCGATGGTACTACCAGCTATCTAGCTCAGAACTGAAGCGCTGTCCCGTTGTCGCAGTTGGCTGGCTGTGTTGACTTGAGAGGTTGCACATATCCTTTTCTTTCACCTACGGCAGATGAATGAAATGCGTATTTCAGATAAAATAGTTCCAAAAATAACTGCATTTAAAACAACTAGAATTGAAATATTATAGTTTTATATATACTTTGGAGTAGCTAGAAGGTATTTTTTCATGCTTTTGAGAGGAGCTGGCTACCTGGAGACCTCCAGCAATTGTGCTAAGCTAACGATGATCTAATGTAAATTATCTTTAAACTCAGCATTGGGCCAGTAACCGAAAGGTTGCTGTATTGAATCACCAAGCCGGCAAGGTGGGAAAATCTGGAGTCCTAAAAACAATTAAATAAGTGTATATTATTTGGCAAGTCACAGATTGGCTATCAGAAAAATTCAACCCCGCCCAGACCTCCTGAAAGCTAAAAAAAAGCAATAACATTTTCAATATATATATAGAGTGTTTGACTGATTTGGACATAGATTGTGCCAAACTAACGGGCTGATCAATACACATCGTTTGGTGTATTGTTGGTCTGTGTTCAACAGAGGGGGCCAACGCCACAGTGAAATTCATGGAAGTACTACCACAGAAATGTTTCAATTTGGTGATCCTTTTACAATTACTCGTAACTTTATCATACATTTGAACAGTATAAGGCAAGTGATCCTTCATGTACTGTCACACACCCTCTGTTTACAAAACAATAGATTAAAACACGCTTATATTTTGGGTTCTGATGGGCTATGACAGTTGAACTAAGCTCATGACGCAAGTTATATTCTTCAAGAATCAATGGGTATACACCTGTATAATTAATTAAAAGTCAAAAAATGTATGTAGCAACTGCAGATTGCCCCTTTAAGGAACACAAATATTAAACACTTTGATCCTCATAACCAAATGATTCAAGCACATGACATTGTAAGTACAGGAATATTTCTTAGCTATGGTGTTTGACCACTATAAGCAGTTCAGTAGTATATATCTGTGTATCTTATAAGCTGAGTGCACTGTATCTGTTACCAGCCAAAGTACACAGGTGTAGACTTGAATGTTACACACTTAAAAAATTGGCTCTCTAAGCATGAACAGGTTCTAAAATCTGTTGTTCTGTCTGGCTGTTTGTCCCTGTTTCTGTGACAACTACAGGTTTGTCCCTCGCCATGAAGATGAGCTGGAGTTGGAGGTGGATGACCCTCTACTAGTGGAGGTACAAGCAGAGGATTACTGGTATGAAGGTTACAACATGCGTACAGGTACCTACGGCATCTTCCCTGCTTACTACGCCATAGAGGTCGCCAAGGAGCCAGAGAGCTTCAAAGGTACAGTGCTTTGATCCCTGCTTATTTACACAGTGCTAAAATGCTAAATGAGTATTTGCACCACTTTAAAAGGGCAATCTGTAGTTCAAACAATAACAAAGCCAACACCCGCCACTGTTTTCGTAAACAGCTGAGGGATGGGACTGGAGAAATGTAATCACTCATCAGAGCTATGGATGCAAGGACTGACCATTCATGATATCAACATTATAGTTTTTACCATGTTTTGAGGCTATGTAATTGGCTATGTAATTGTTTACAATTAAATTGTTTACACACAGTGGATCAAGACAAGCTGATAGTTTTGAACTAAGCTCATGAGAAATGTAGAAGTTATATTCTTCAAGAATAATAATAATAATAATGGTCCTCTGTAGCTCAGCTGGTAGAGCACGGTGCTTGTAACGCCAAGGAAGTGGGTTCGATCCCCGGGACCACCCATACACAAAAATGTATGCATGCATGACTGTAAGTCGCTTTGGATAAAAGCGTCTGCTAAATGGCATATTATTATTATTATATTCTTCAAGAATCAATTGGTCTACAGTATATCATTAATTTAAAAGTCTAAAAATTGATGTAACAACTGCAGATTGCCTCTTTAAGGAACACAAATATTAAATAGTTTGATCCTCATAACCAAATGATTCAAGCACATGACATTGTAAGTAAAGTAAAATGTATTTGCCATGGTGTGTAACCAATCACAGATTGCCCCTTTAAAGAACACTATTGTGTTGACAGCTCTATAGGTGAATATATTGATGCACATTACAGTACTAATGGCATTGATCCAACCGTGTGTAGAGCACTTTAACCCTTCCCTTCTGTTCCGGGGCAATTTGAAAAGAGTTCGAAATCACTAAAATACAATTTTACGTAATTTTTCAACCATGACCCTTCATCTGCTTTCCTAAGGATGGGTCTCAAACTTGCAAAACACATAATTAAACAAAAAATATACAGTGGGGAAAAAAAGTATTTAGTCAGCCACCAATTGTGCAAGTTATCCCACTTAAAAAGATGAGAGAGCCCTGTAATTTTCATCATAGGTACAAGTCAACTAGGACAGACAAAATGAGGAAAAAAAATCCAGAAAATCACATTGTAGGATTTTTTATGAATTTATTTGCAAATTATGGTGAAAAATAAGTATTTGGTCAATAACAAAAGTTTCTCAATAGTTTGTTATATACCCTTTGTTGGCAATGACACAGGTCAAATGTTTTCTGTAAGTCTTCACAAGGTTGTCACACACTGTTGCTGGTATTTTGGCCCATTCCTCCATGCAGATCTCCTCTAGAGCAGTTCTGTTTTGGGGCTGTCGCTGGGCAACACAGACTTTCAACTCCCTCCAAAGATTTTCTATGGGGTTGAGATCTGGAGACTGGCTAGGCCACTCCAGGACCTTGAAATGCTTCGTACGAAGCCACTCCTTCGTTGCCCGGGCGGTGTGTTTGGGATCATTGTCATGCTGAAAGAACCAGCCACGTTTCATCTTCAATGCCCTTGCTGACGGAAGGAGGTTTTCACTCAAAATCTCACGATACATGGCCCCATTCATTATTTCCTTTAAACGGATCAGTCGTCCTGGTCCCTTTGCAGAAAAACAGCCCCAAAGCATGATGTTTCCACTCCCATGCTTCACAGTAGGTATGGTGTTCTTTGGATGCAACTCAGCATTCTTTGTCCTCCAAACACGACGAGTTGAGTTTTTACCAAAAAGTTATATTTTGGTTTCATATGACATTCTCCCAATCCTCTTCTGGATCATCCAAATGCACTCTAGCAAACTTCAGACGGGCCTGGACATGTACTGGCTTAAGCAGGGGGACACGTCTTGCACTGCAGGATTTGAGGTCCTGGCGGCGTAGTGTGTTACTGATGGTAGGCTTTGTTACTTTGGTCCCAGCTCTCTGCAGGTCATTCACTAGGTCCCCCCGTGTGGTTCTGTGATTTTTGCTCACTGTTCTTGTGATCATTTTGACCCCACGGGGTGAGATCTTGCGTGGAGCCCCAGATCGAGGGAGATTATCAGTGGTCTTGTATGTCTTCCATTTCCTAATAATTGCTCCCACAGTTGATTTCTTCAAACCAAGCTGCTTACCTATTGCAGATTCAGTCTTCCCAGCCTGGTGCAGGTCTACAATTTTGTTTCTGGTGTCCTTTGACAGCTCTTTGGTCTTCGCCATAGTGGAGTTTGGAGTGTGACTGTTTGAGGTTGTGAACAGGTGTCTTTTATACTGATAACAAGTTCAAATAGGTGCCATTAATACAGGTAACAAGTGGAGGACAGAGGAGCCTCTTAAAGAAGAAGTTACAGGTCTGTGAGAGCCAGAAATCTTGCTTGTTTGTAGGTGACCAAATACTTATTTTCCACCATAATTTGCAAATAAATTCATTAAAAATCCTACAATGTGATTTTCTGGAAAAAAAATGCTCAATTTGTCTGTCATAGTTGACGTGTACCTATGATGAAAATTACAGGCCTATCTCATATTTTTAAGTGGGAGAACTTGCACAATTGGTGGCTGACTAAATACTTTTTTTCCCCACTGTATATAATAATAATAATAATAATAAAAAAATAGTGACATGATGTTCTGGGTAAATTTTACCCGCAATTTGACCTTGAACTTGGTCTATATAACTTTATATATAGAAACAAACTGCTTACTGCACAGGAATGGTGCAAGCATGATAATCACATAGACATAAGTATGATTCCCCTATGTTGCTGAGCAACACTGATCTGAAGTCAATTTAACCAGCAATTTGGCCTTGACCTATATAACTTTTGAATGGTGTGACCTAGAAACAATCTGCTTTCTGCACAGGAATGGTGCAAACATGATGATCACAAATGATGTCCCTATGATGCTCAGAGGCTAAGCAACACTGATCTGAAGTAAATTTGACCTTGACGCTAGAGACAAATGGAATTCTGTGCAGTAAAGATCCATCCATGATGATCATTTACATTTTAGCAGACACTTTTATCCAGAGCTACTTACAGTTAGTGAGTGCATACATCTTTTTTTTCATACTGACCCCCTGTGGGAATCAAACCCACAATCTGGCGTTGCAAACGCCATGCTCTACCAACTGAGCTACACGGGGCCTGAGCTATACGGGGATCACAAGGATATAGGTATGCTTTCACTGTAATGTTCAGAGGCCGAGGGACAGTGATCTGAAGTTAGGCAAAACATTTGCTATAAAGGTCTTAAATGTCATAAAATAATTTGATTGATTTACGACTTTGGTACAGTAATCAAACATTTGGCTCTAACTTTTGAACAATTGCGTCGGTTTTGGGAGTTTAAGATCCTATATTTGTGATCTTCATGTACTTATTGTACTTACTGTACTGGTCAAATTGACCCGGAACATAAACGGTGTTGGCCCAATCGAACATAAGAGAAGGGCTAAAAGTACTGAGTCAGCCTTGTCCAGCACTTACCCATTATTATGTATGCAGTGCTTAAATGTTGACCCATCTTCATTCAGAGCACTTTAAAGGTCCATTATGTAGCTTTGTGGAAGAACCAACAGATTTCCTATAGAAATGGGAGTTGATATGTCATTCTCATTGAAAGCAAGTCTGACAAGCAGTAGATCTGTTCTATGTACAATATTTCTATGCTCCCCTCCATAAGTTTCATTTTTGTGTCTTTTTACTTTCAGTTCTGTACACCAGCTTCAAACAGCTGAAAATACATTATTTTTGCTGTTCTCACTAAGGGCATGCTCCAATGAGCGCTTCTTTAGCTAGATAGCCAGCTAAACCTTTCTTAACACTAATCCTTCAAGAACCAGGCTGGAGATATAATTTGAAGATTTAATTTATATATAATAATATAATATGCCATTTAGCAGACGCTTTTATCCAAAGCGACTTACAGTCATGCGTACATACATTTTTGTGTATGGGTGGTCCCGGGGATCGAACGCACTACCTTGGCGTTACAAGCGCCATGCTCTACCAGCTGAGCTACAGAGGACAATTTCAGAAGTCTAAAACTGTACGCACAAAACTATAAGCACAGCATGCCAAAAGGTAAGTATGAAATTCTCACATATATAGATAGATACATGTAGAATTGGCTGTATCAAAGCTAAACATGAACATATAACATGTTGGGACAACAGCAGGAGAGAATAATGATTTACAGGTCTCACAAGGTAGGTATAGGCTACAATAGTCCTTTGTAGATAGGGCATTTTACAGGGAGGTGAACATCCAGGATGAACCAAAATAGACCAAACAGGTAGGACACAGGTGAGTATACTAACACAAATGCAAATTTGCATACACACACATCCATGCTGATTAGTTAGCATGACGATTAAAGAGAGAAACATGAATAGCAATGAGGCTAGCTAACCGCCAAGCTAAACACCATACATTTCAATGGGATCGGTTAAAACCATTTTAGCTAGCGACCTTTTTAACATCATAAAAAGTAATAAATGGTGAAATAATGAATAGTACATGCACACACATTAACAATAAATATGAATACTTACAGATGATGTCAAATTATTAGTTACAGGATGGAATGTTGCTTACCTCGAGGATAGTTAAGTGGTTACTAGTTACTAAGCTGCAATATACGAAAACAGGTGAGGGTAAATCTTTATGCGGTCCAGGACAGTTATTGATGGTACAATGATTCTCTACATGATATATTGATTTTGTCATTAGAAACCAGGAAATGGCAGAGCTATTACTACATATTGTGCCCTTAAATGTACTGTAGCATCCATAGTTTATATTTTTTCTCTATCTCTCTCTCTCTCCCACAGTGAAGAGCAGTGAATGGGTAGACAGATACCGCATGAAATTTCTGGGCTCGGTCCAAGTGCCCTACCACAAAGGCAACGATGTTCTGTGTGCAGCTATGCAGAAGGTATGGGATGTGCTGTGTGTGTGCTTGTGAAAGAGAGAGTGAGAGGATAGAAAGAGTGTGAGAGAGATGTCAACTGGCACGTTACCAATGGAAACCATAAACTTTAACTGAGAGAGAGGGGGAGGAAGAGACAGACGGATGAAGAGACAGATGAAGTGAGTAGGAACATGGGAAATAATGGGGGAGAAAGAGTGAGGTAAACAGTATAGTTTATTCTCTATGAAAATAGTATTGAAATAGTATGGTATTACACCAGGGTTGGGGTCGGAATTCAGAATTTAATTCAATTCAACGCATTCATTGAAATTTGAATTTGAATTGGACACATCCCACAGAAAGCAAAATTGTAATTTAATTTTAATTAAAGGAAGTAAATTAATTCAAAGCAATTCAACTAAGACATGAAAGTGCCATTCCTTTGATTCAACCACACTGTATCTTATACATAGTATTGGTTACGATACATGATTTCAAAACAATTATATTTGTGTCATGATGTGTAGAATAAATAAGCCATTTGAATTCAATTCCAAGTCTGTTTCCTGTGGGGTGTGGACAATTTTAAGAAAATAATTGGAATTAAAGAGCAATTCGCAATTCAATTCAGAATTGACCCCAACCCTGTATTACACAAACAAACATTGACAGGAGAAGAATCTGAGATTTCAAATTAGAAAGGTTAAGACAGGAAATCATTAAAACATGATAGAAAAGAAAAGAGGACAGAGGCAGGTTGAGAAGAGCTTTTAGCCATTGCTCATAGCTACATTACATGACCAAAAGTATGTGTACACCTGCCCGTCGAACATCTCATTCCAAAATCATGGGCATTAATATGGAGTTGGTCCCCCCTCTTCGGGAAGGCTTTCCACTAGATGTTGGAAAATTGCTGAGGGGACTTTCTTCCATTCAGCCACAAGAGCATTATTTATTTTTATTTATTTAACTAGGCATTAGTGAGGTCGGGCAGTGATGTTGGGCGATTAGGCCTGGCTTGCAGTCGGCATTCCAATTCATCCCAAAGGTGTTAGATGGGGTTGAGGTCAGGTCTCGGTGAAGGCCAGTCAAGTTCTTCCACACCGATCTCGACAAACCATTTCTGTATGGACCTTGCTTTGGGCACGGGGGCATTGTCATGCTGAAACAGGAAAGGGCCTTCTCCAAACTGTTGCCACAAAGTTGGAAGCACAGAATCATCTAGAATGTCATCGTATGCTGTAGCGTTACGATTTCCCTTCACTGGAACTAAGGGGCCTAGTCTGAACCATGAAAAACAGCCCCAGATCACTATTTCTCCTCCACCAAACTTTACAGTTGGCCCTATGCATTGGGGCAGGTAGCATTCTCCAGGCATTTGAAATTTGACGAACTGACTTGTTGGAAAGGTGGTATCCTGTGACGGTGCCACCTTGAAAGTCTCTGAGCTCTTCAGTAAGGCCATTCTACTGCCAATGTTTGTCTATGGAGATTACATGGTTGTGTGCTCGGTCAGCAATGGGTGTGGCTCAAATAGCTGAATCCACTAATTTGAAGATGTGTCCACATACTTTTGTATATATAGTGTATATTTCTAGCTGAGATGCCACTAGAATTTTAAGACCAATAACCCACCTCTTTCCAATGTTCATGTTTTAAATTCCAATTAGTAGAATAAGGATGCACAAGTTTTGTCTTGTTTTTTTGTTGTTGTTTTTTTACATATCAATTCAATATCTAAACCAGCCCTGATGTTTCAGCTGCTGCTTTTCTCAAGGGATGCTGATGCTGTTTTGATTGCCACCAGATTGCCACCAATAGAAGGATGACAGTGCAGTATAACCCACCATCGTCTTGTATCCTTGAGATCAACGTGAAAGGTGTGAAGCTCCTAGTCCAGGATGACTACTATGCCTCTGACAGAGTAAGACTTTCACACTCAAATGCACACACATTGTACACATACACGCGCAAGCACGCACGCACACACACACACACACACACACACACACACACACACACACACACACACACACACACACACAAAAACTCAGATTTATGCATACACACGTACACACTCTACACATGCATTTGCATCACACACACACACACTTCTTAAGGCACACCTTCAACGCATATTAGAAAGACAGAAGTTTAGTTTGGACCAAAGTATGACTACAAGACTTCGCGTCTGACTTGCAAGACTAGATACATAGAGGCTTTTTATCCAAACCTTTGACCAGCAAGATCACACTGAGGGACGTATTCCCAGTAAAGCCTCCCGAGTGGCGCAGTGGTCTAAGGCACTGCATCGCAGTGCTAGCTGTGCCACTAGAGATCCTGGTTCAATTCCAGGCTCTGTCGTTGCCGGCTGCGACCGGGAGACCCATGGGGCGGCGCACAATTGGCCCAGCGTCGTCCAGGGTAGGGGAGGGGATGTAGCTCAGTTGGTAGAGCATGGCGTTTGCAACACCAGAGTTGTGGGTTTGATTCCCACGGGGGGCCAGTATGAAAAATAATGTATTCACTCACTAACTGTAAGTCGCTCTGGATGTAAAGAAGGTTGATAACACCCCAGTGTGGGCACTACAGGGTATTGCAGACCACACATAATAATCCAGATGTACTGTATAGAGGCAAGTGAGAATTTTATCTGGCAACAGCGGTGCCCACCTAAACTGAAGTCAAGCTATATAACCATCAGTGGGTTCTTTGTTGACATTAAGGCTACGATTTGTTTTAATATCTAATCTAATTGGTCAATCATAAGGTTCACTAGCTATTGCTCCTACAGAATATGTGTTGTAAGCAGACAGCAAACTCCATGAGAAATGCAGTTGTTGACATGGAGGGTGGATACTTTTTACCCTCAACACCTGTTTTTCAGAGCCATATAATTTGTTCAATGAGGTTTGTACCAAAGAACTATGATGTATTCATATGACAGCACATGGAACCAGATACTGTATCTAGAGCATTATGGGTGATGTAGTCATTCTAGTTTCCAAATTAAATTGGCCTACAATTACATCAGTGCAAAACAAAACCCAACGAAATGCAGTGGAATTTAAAGTAGCCTACCCCATTTTCCCAGACGATGCAATTATTTTGAGCCAAAAATGAAGAAAGTCAGTCCAAAATTTAAGGACGCAAATCCGCCACTAGTTTGTGGCTTACGGTATTATACAGTTTTTCCCAATTGCTAAAACACAATTTTGCAAACTAGGCTGGTTTTATCAAAATACTTAACACAATTCACAAAAATACACACCCAAACTGCAAAATACCTAATATATCCTGCAAAATGAAGCACTGCAACCAAAACTACATATAGCATTATCAAAATCAAACGTTTGCACGAAATGGCACACACTTCATTCATATTACCAGATTTTTGTCTAACCAACTACACACTGGTGGGCATAATGAAAAGCACTCTCATCTTTAGTATGCTTTGCCATAATAATAAAATAGTTCAAATTGTAGAAAATTTGTCAGATTGTTCACATGCACAGAAATATTTGCAGATACACACACATGCTGTTGAAACATTTTATTTTTTATTTTTCACCAAACAAGTCAGTGCAACATATGCACAGCAGATATATTTACATTGAACTGAACAAAAATATGCTCACAAAAAACAGTAAACTGAAAAAGAAAGTTGCAGAAAAAGTGTGCAGAACAAATATATAGAAACAAAAAAGAGGCAAGAAAAATAATTAGGCAGCATCTTGCCGCACAGCTGGGTCTGGCCACAACGCTTCATCCACATCACAGGCAATATCTTCCCTTGCCAGACATCGAGGGAAGAAGAGCTTTGAGTGCCTTATCCGTCCCTGAATCGCACCCACATCAATCTCATCACATGCCTCTTCCATAGCCTGCATAAGAGGCATGCGCACAAAGGGCTGCCAGTCTGATACCTTCCACCGCCATGCCGAAAATAACTATTCTATGGGGTTCAGAAATGGTGAGTATGGTGGGAGGTATTGCACGAGAAATGGTGGGTGGTCAGCAAACCAGTTTTGGACTGGGGCTGCACGATGAAAGCTCACGTTGTCCCATACTACAACGTACTGGGTTCTTTGATGGTCTGCATCATTCATACGCTCTGGTGGTATGAGAATGTTGTGGAGTCTGTCCAGAAATGTGAGAATATGGGCTGTGTTGTATGGTCCAAGGTTGGCATGACGGTGGAGGACACCATGTGTATTGGAGATGGCAGCGCACATTGTGATGTTCCCACCACGTTGGCCAGGAACATCTATAATGGCTCTGTGGCCAATGACGTTTCTCCCCTTCCCCCTGGTCTTTGCTAGGTTGAACCCAGCCTCATCTATAAAGATGAACTCATGTGGGATTGCGTGAGCATCCATTTCCAGTACTCCCTGAAAACAAAGAACAAAAGCAGTCAATATGGTGTTATCCAGTACACTGGGAAACAATGTTGCGTGTAGTCTACTGCAGTAAATATTGTACTTACATCCACATATGCTCGTCTGACCTCTTTGTTTCTTTGAGAGTTTCTCTCAAACGGCACCTTATAAAGTTTTTTCATTCTGATTTGGTTTCGTTTGAGAATGCGAGCCAATGTGGACAGACTGACTCGTTGAATGTTGTTGAATATGGTGTTGTCTTGGATGATGTGGCTTTGAATTTCTCGTAATCTGATTTCATTATTTTCCAAAACCAAGTTTACAATGGCAGCTTCCTGTACCCAGGTGAACATTTGGCCCCTTCCTCCACCATGGTTGCGTCTCTCAGTCCTTTAGAAAAACAAAAAAACTAAAATATAGGGCTTGGACAATGCAGCCTAAAGATACTTCCCCCACAGTAGAGTAAATTGTACAGGAAACTTGTGCAGTTAGTGTATGACATCAGCCATTAATGAAGTAAACAGGTGTCACCCAACTGATACACTATGACATGGGGTGTACTACATAGTGTGAAATACATTTTGGTTACATACCTGTACTCCAGTCTAAATGTCCGGATGACACAGGCGACAGTAAAACGGCTCAAGTTGGGCTGCACTCTCTGTCCAGCCTCTCGCATTGTCAGCCCATGGTTGATGACATGATCAACTAAGGTTGCTCTGATTTCATTAAAAAGTTGTCTTCTTTGGCCATGAACTCCTCTACCAGCTCTACTCCTACCTCTCACTCTTACTCCCCCTCTCCCTCCCCCTCTCATTCTCCCCCTCCCTCTTCCTCTTCCTCTCTCTGCAACATTTTCCATTGTTGTTGTAAAACAAAAGGTGCTCACCTGTGGTCTTTTCATAGTGCTTACTTCCTGATTGAAGTGGTAACAATTAACCATTGAGGTGTTTGGCCAGGTGGCACATGTATTGGCCAATTTGAATGGCAGTGTTTTGAAATGGCAAACATGTGACTTTAAGTGGACCTCTGTAGCTCAGTAGAGCACGGCGCTTGTAACGCCAAGGTAGTGGGTTCGATCCCCGGGACCACCCATACACACAAAAAAATAATGTATGCACGCATGACTGTAAGTCGCTTTGGATAAAAGCGTCTGCTAAATGGCATATTATTATTATTATTATATTATTATGTCAGATTGTTGTGTCTTATGCAGAGAACCGTGTGCAGTGCATCCTCTGTAGCTCAATTGGTAGAGCATGGCGCTTGTAACGCCAGGGTAGTGGGTTCGATCCCCGGGACCACCCATACGTAAAAATGTATGCGCACATGACTGTAAGTCGCTTTGGATAAAAGCGTCTGCTAAATGGCATATTATTATTAAAAGTGCCATTTTGAATTGCAAAATGTGTTTTGGAGGTTTTGCTCTCTGTGTGTCAGTTTAAATAATTGTGCTGTGCATGTCATTTTAGTGTGTTAGCAATTGGAAAAAACTGTAATATAGATGTGTGTGTGTGTGTGTGTGTCTGTCTGCCATCACAGAGTAACCAGTGCAGCCACTTCTTCCAGTTGAAGAATGTTTCCTTCTGTGGCTATCACCCTAAGAACAGCAAGTAAGTACCTGGATCTGGATGACATTTTGTCAGTCATGCTCACTGTATTCAAGTAACAATTAGCTTTTTAGGAGAGTCATAGCGCAGGCAGTGGAGGAAATGGAGAAAGAGAATCACTCTGGGAACCTTCCATTGTAAAATCTGCATTTATTTTACTCCTGGAACCTGGTTCCCTCTGGGGTTTCGCTCCTCTGACCCCTGTATTTCTTTTTTTTAAACCTATGTGTGGGTTGTATGGTTTCCCCTTAGGTACTTTGGCTTCATCACAAAACACCCAGCTGACCAGAGATTTGCCTGTCATGTGTTTGTGTCTGAAGATTCTACTAAACCCCTGGCAGAGTCTGTTGGGTGAGGAATGAGGACTTTGTTTCTGTGTTAAAAAATATATATATCCTGTCACTCTTTTGCTCTTTGTCCCTCTCTTTTATATTGTCAGAGGATTCAAGAGGTTCTTAGCCATAGTGGGCCAATTACAACCAACATTGAGCACTGTCTCAACACGAGGTGATCTCTCATTAAACCACCAATATGCGCTAAGATCACCCACACAGCTGATCTCAATTGCAACCAGTATTGGCCATTATATTATCACTCCCTAAAGCTGATGTCAGTGTTTAAAGGGCGACTGTGCTTCGTGATTTGGCCTCGTTTTTCATCTATGTCCATTTAAGAAATGCTGAAGGCATACAAGAGTGATCTTGGGGGTGTGGTTTGATGTGGGTGTTTCTTCGGTGTGTCTTTGTCATTCAATCACAACAAACAAGTGCAGTAATGAGTACAGCGAGGTAAGCTAAGCTATCTTTGCTATGGAGAGAACGATGTTTTGAAGTTGAGGACTGTTTTGCATACGCATAAATTAGTTTGCAGATGTTATCGTGGGTGTAGCGAAATGCTTATGTTGCAAGCTCCAACAGTGCAGTAATACCTCACAATACAAAACAATACAAGCAAATCCAAAATAGAAAAATAAAATAATTAAGAAATATAGATATAATATATATAAGCAATGTCAGAGTCCGGAATATAATTATGTATGTACACAGTGCATTTGGAAAGTATTCAAACCCCTTGACCTTTTCCACATTTTGTTACTTTACAGCAGGGGTGTCAAACTCATTTTAGCTCAGGGGCCACATGGAGGAAAATCTATTCCCAAGTGGGCCGGACCGGAAAAATCATGGTATATATAACTTAAAAACAACAACTTCAGATTGTTTTCTTTGTTTTAATACGATCAACATACAACATAAAGCTGGAGCCTGAGGACAGTGTGTCCAAAATAGTACAAGCACAACATCACTATTAATCATAAAACACGTCAAGTTTATATGAAAATTCTAAAGAAAAAGAACACACAAACACACAATGCCTCAGTGATTAACAGAACTGTTTCACAGATCATAGAACTATATCAGGGTGTCATTTCTCAGGCAGAAATGTAGATAAAAATAATGAAATCCTGTTCCCCAAACAAATGCAAGAACCACAGAGTCAATAATAGGTTAAATATACAAATAAAATAAAATCAATTAAAAACAATAGCACATCAACATAAAAACATATAAATATAAATCTGAAAGCGTTGCTCAAACTCCCGTAACAGTCCAGTTATTTTATCTTTGAACCGCTTCATGTCTGCCACATGTTGGGTCGCGCACACATTTTTCAGACAGGGGAAGTGAGCTGCAGCACCACCGGCAAGTTGCGTCTCCCACAATGACAGCTTCAACTTGAAAGAACGTATGCTGTCATAAAACTGCGTGACAACTTTGTTGCGCCCTTGCAGCTGTTTGTTCAAGTTATTCAGGTGCTCTGTAACATCCACCATAAATGCAAGGTCCGGCATCCATTTTGCAGAATGAAATTCTAACACTGGTTTGCCCTTTTCTTCCATGAACTGTTCAATTTCTTCTCGTAAATCAAAGAAACGCCTCAGCACAGCACCTCGGCTTAACCATCTTACCTCAGTGTGGTATGGCAGGCCATAGATGTGGTCTTTCTCTCTGAGAAGGCTGTCAAACTGACGGTAATTCAGGCTTCTGGATCGGATGAAATGAACAGTTTGGATGACCACCTTCATGACGTTATCCATCTTTAATGACTTGCAACACAAAGCCTCCTGGTGCAAAATACAGTGAAAAGTCAAAAAATCACATCCTCCATTTGCAGATTGCACTTTCTCTCTGAACTTTGTCACAACGCCTGCTTTTTTCCTGATCATTGAGGGCGCACCATCTGTAGCCAGGCTGACAGCGCGGGACCAGTCCACTCCGACCCTGTCCAGCGCGCCGACGAGTGCGGTAAAAATATCAGCTGCTGTCGTTGTATCTGTCATCGGCACCAACTCCACGAACTCCTCGGTGACGGTCAATGTGTCATCAACTCCGCGGATGAAAAAATGGCCAGTTGTGCAACATCTGTAATGTCCGTGCTTTCATCAATTGCAACCGAAAACGCAATAAATGACTTTACTTTTTGCTTCAACTGGCTGTCCAAATCCACTGAAAGATCGGAAATCCTGTCTGCAACTGTGTTTCTTGTCAGGCTGATATTTGCAAAAACCTGCCGCTTTTCAGGGCACACAATCTCCGCTGCCTTCATCATGCATGTTTTTACAAATTCACCCTCACTAAATGGTTTTGAAGCCACTGCGATTTCATTAGCAATGAGGTAGCTAGCTTTCACTGCAGCGTCACTGATGTCTCGGCTGTGAGTAAACACAGACTGCTGTTTCTTCAGACCCGCCAACCTTCTCTCATCTCCGCTGTCCTTGAAAGTTGTCATATTTGTCGGCATGAAGACTCACATAGTGGCGACGAAGGTTATATTCTTTCAGCACTGCAACATGCTCTGAACACACCAAACATACAGCTTTCCCATTCAATTCCGTGATTAAATAGGATGACCATTTTTCTTGGAACACTCTGCACTCTGCGTCCACTTTTCTCTTTTTTGACAGAGACAAATTGGGGCAATGAGGGTGCCAAAGCACACAATGTTAAAAGTAGAAGCCGTAATAAATATCGCGGGCAAAACAAAGTAGCTCATTGGCTGCACGTGCTTGACCTACTTGCTCTGCCCCGGTATAAACAGTTTGCTTGCTTAACAGAATTGCTATTGCGCCATCCAGTGGACGCAATTGGAACAGCAGTTTATTTTATTGAAAAATTGCAGCGAATTTTTATTCTTAAAAAAATAAAAAATAAAAATATATATATATTTATTTTTCGAAATCATCTCGCGGGCTGGATTAAACCCGTTTGCCCGCCTGATCCGGACCGCGGGCCGTACGTTTGACACCCCTGCTTTACAGCCTTATTCTAAAATTGATTTAATAGTTTTTTTTCCCCCTCATCAATCTACACACAATAGCCCATAATGACAAAGCAAAAACAGGTAAAACAATAAAATAAAAAAAATAAAAAATACATGAAATATCAAATTTACATAAGTGTTCACTCTTTTCTCAGTGCTTTGTTGAAGCACCTTTTGCAGCAATTACAGCCTTGAGTCTTCTTGGGTATGACGCTACAAGCTTGGCACACCTGTATTTGGGGAGTTTCTCCCATTCTTCTCTGCAGATCCTCTCAAGCTCTGTCAGGTTGGAGGGGGAGTGTCGCTGCACAGCTATTTTCAGTTCTAACCAGGCCACTCAAGGATTTTCAGAGACTTGTCCCAAAGCCACTCCTGCATTGTATTGGCTGTGTGCTTAGGGTCGTTGTGCTGTTGGAAGGTGAACCTTCGCCCCATCCTGAGGTCCTGAGCGCTCTGGAGCAGGTTTTCATCAAGGATCTCTGTACTTTGCTCCAATCATCTATCCCTCAATCCTGACTAGTCTCCCAGTCCCTGCCGCTGAAAAACATCCCGACAACATGATGCTGCCACCACCATGCTTAACCATAGGGATGGTGCCAGGTTTCCTCCAGACGTGACACTTGGCATTCAGGCCCAAGAGTTCAATTTTGATTTCATCAGGTCTGAGAGTCCTTTAAATCAAATCACATTTTATTTGTCACATGCGCAAACTCAATGATGGTGTTGGAGTCGTGCCTGGCCATGAGTCATGGGTGAACAGGGAGTACAGGAGGGGACTGAGCACGCAACCCTGAGGGGCCCCCGTGTTGAGGATCAGCGTGGCATATGTGTTGTTACCTACCCTTACCACCTGGGGGTGGCCCGTCAGGAAGTCTAGGATTCAGTTGCAGAGGGAGGTGTTTAGTCCCAGGGTCCGTAGCTTAGTGATGAGCTTTGAGGGCACTATGGTGTTGAACGCTGAGCTGTAGTCAATGAATCGCATTCTCACGTAGGTGTTCCTTTTGTCCAGGTGGGAAAGGGCAGTGTGGAGTGCAATAGAGATTGCGTCATCTGTGGATATGTTGGGGCGGTATGCAAATTGGAGTGGGTCTAGGTTTTCTGGGATAATGGTGTTGATGTGAGACATGACCAGCCTTTCAAAGCACTTCAATGCTACAGACGTGAGTGTTACGGGTCGGTAGTCATTTAGGCAGGTTACCTTGGTGTTCTTGGGCACAGGGACTATGGTGGTCTGCTTGAAACGTTGGTATTACAGACTCGGTCAGGGACAGGTTGAAAATGTCAGTGAAGACACTAGCCAGTTGGTCCGCGCATGCTCGGAGTACACGTCCTGGTAATCTGTCTGGCCCTGCGGCCTTGTGAATATTGACCTGTTTAAAGGTCTTACTCACATCGGCTACGGAGAGCGTGATCACACAGTCGTCCGGAACAGCTGGTGCTCTCATGCATGCTTCAGTGTTGCTTGCCTCGAAGCACGCATAGAAGTCATTTAGCTAGTCTGGTAGGCTTGTGTCACTGGGCAGCTCGCGGCTGTGCTTCCCTTTGTAGTCCGTAATAGTTTGCAAGCCCTGCCACATCCGACGAGCGTCGGAGCTTTGCCTGTTTGATGGTTCGTCGGAGGGCATAGCGGGATGTCTTAACTCTCAAAGCACTTCATGATGACAGAAGTGATTGCTACGATAGTTACCTTCGCTCTCTTGGGTACAGCAATAATGGTGGACATCTAGAAACAAGTGGGGACAACAGACTGGGATAGGGAGAGATCTAATATGTCCATGCAAATGCTCTGAGGACGCGGCTTGGAAGGTTGTCTGGGCCGGCAGGCATGCAAGGTTTAACACGCTTGATTGTCTTACTCACATTGTCCCATAGATCGGGAGCACACAGTCCTCTTGAGTGGTGGAGGCCGACGTCGGCGGTTCAGTGTTGTATTCCTTGAAGTGGCGAAAAAGGTGTTTAGCTTGTCTGGGAGTGAGGCGTCGGTGTCCGCAACATGGCTGGCTTTCCCTTTATAATCCGTGATTGTCTGGAGTCCCTGCCACATGCATCTCGTGTCTGGGCCATTGAATTGCTACTCTACTTTCCCTGTACTGTCAATTTTGGCTCTGATTGCCTTAGCTGTTCTGTTTGTACACGTCCATGTTCCCAGTTACCTTGCCATGGTTAAATGTGGTGGTTCGCGCTTTCAGTTTTGCGTAAATGCTCCCATCTATCCACAAGTTTTGGTTTGGTTAAGTTCTTATCGTCACAGTAGGAACAACATCCTCTATGCAGTTCCTGATGAACCCAGTCATTGAATCAGTGTATACGTTGTTACTATTCCCAGAGGCGACCAAGAACATTTCCCAGTCCACGTGTTCAAAACAGTCTTGTAGCATAGATTCCAATGTTGAACAGTCTTTACCATGGGTGCTTCCTGTTTGAGTTTCTGTCTATAGGCGGGGAGGAGCAGGATGGAGGTGTGATCTGATTTGCTGAAGGTAGGGTGGGGAGGGCCTTGTAGCCATCCTGGAAGGGAGAGTAACAATGGTCAAGTGTGTTTCTCTCCGCGTGTAGTGCAGGAGATGTGTTGGTAGAATTTCGTCAGCTTTTTCCTCAGATGTCCTTTATTACAGTCCCCAGCTACAATAAATGCTGGCCTCAGGATATTTGGTTTCCAGATTGCCCTAAGCCCAGTGTAGTTCCTTGAGAGCCGTCGCGGTGTCAGCTTGGCGGGGAATATACATGGCAGTGACAATAACCAAATAAAAAATGTTCGGGAGGTAATGCAGTCGGCATTTGATGTGGAGGTATTCCAGATCGGGAGAACAATAGGACTTGAGTTCCTGTATGTTACCACAATCACATCATGAGTTGTTGATCATGAGACATACCCCTCCACCTTATTTTGTCTTTCTTCCTGTCTGCGCGTTGAACTGAGAACCCTGCTGGCTATATGGACGGGGACAATATATCCAGAGAGAGCCATGATTCCATATGGTGGTTAGGTGAATTCCAGGATAGTATTTTGACCATTGACCAGATCAAATGTGACCAACCTGATTCAAGTGTCCTCCATTACTCTGAAGCGGGACTGGTGTCTGGGCACTGCCTCTGCCTTCTCTAAGAGCTCCTGATATAGTATGGGGCTTCCCACAATGCTGCTGAACAACAAATCCACCAGGTTTTGTACGTAGACTGTGAATGAAATAAAATGTATATGCTAATAGAGGGACTGTAACTACAGAATAGATTCAGGCCGGTGACACCGTTACTCTGCAACCAGCTGTGTACATTGCTGAATGCTTGCTGATACCTTCTGCTATTTGCTGACGGAGCAATAGCTATATTTGTAGTAGACAAGTACCATCCTTCATTTATTTTTGCCCTAGATATACACAATAAACTTTTAGGAGAACAGGCATGTTGTTTCGGGTTAACATACAAAGCCCCCAAATGCTAGCTAGCTAGCTACCTAACTTGCCTATATAGTTTTACGAGTTGAAATGAGTTGGCTAGCCAGTTCGAGTTTAAACATTATTGAAAGCATGCTGGCTACATCCCATGACTAACTAGTAAGCTAGTATCCAAGTGCCTGTGGGCTAAAGTTAAAGCTAACTAACATGAGCTATGCACATCTTCCTCTTACATGCACATTAGCTTGATGTACAGTGCCTTCAGAAAGTATTCATACCCCTTGACTTATTCCACATTTCATTGTTACACCCTGAATTCAAAATGGATTAAATTATTTTTTTCTCACCCATTTAAACACAATACCCCATAATAAAAATTGAATACAGAAATATCTTAGTTACATAAGTATTCACACCCTGATTCAATATATGTTATAATATGAAGAAAAAAATAAAAATAAAAATAATAATGTATGCACTCACTAACTGTGGATAAGAGTGTCTGCTAAATGACTAAAATGAAAAAAATCACCTTGGGCAGCGATTACAGCTGTGAGTCTTTCTGGGTAAATCTCTAAGAGCTTTGCACACCTAGATTGTACAAAATTTGCCCATTATTATTTTCAAAATTGTTCAAGCTCTGTCAACTTGGTTGTTGATCATTGCTAGACAACCATTTTCAAGTCTTGCCATCGATTTTCAAGCAGATTTAAGTCAAAACTGTAACTCGGCCACTCAGGAACATTCACTGTCTTCTTTGTAAGCAACTCCAGTGTAGATCTGGCCTTACCTTTTTAGGTTATTGTACTGCTGAAAGGTGAATTCAACCCCCAGTGTCTGATGGAGAGCAGAATGAATCAGGTTTTCCTCTAGGATGTTGCCTTTGCTTAGTTCCATTCCGTTAATTTTTTATCATAAAGAAACACCCCAGTCATTAATGATAACAAGCATACCCATAACATGATGCAGAAATATGCTTGAAAATATGGTGAGTGGTACTCAGTAATGTGTTGTATGGGGGGCCAGTATGAAAAAAAATGTATGCACTCACTAACTGTAAGTCGCTCTGGATAAGAGTGTATGCTAAATGACCAAAATTTAAAATGTAAATAAAATGTAAAATGTTTCTGACTCCTATCTATACCACATAAGCCGTTTAAATCCAGAGAAGTGTGGTTCTAAGGGGCAGTTGACCTTCAAGACTATTTAGCCTCTGGTGGGTTATTATCTTCAGTACAAATTAAACCTAATATTTGAGCAGACTAAGCAGAAAATTAACTATTTGACAATCATTCCAACTGAAATTAGGTATTTCCTCGTTTACCACACATAATCTACTGTGGGAATTTACTCTACACATTTTATTAATGTAAAGCTTGTGTTGGTTTACTTTTCATTTCTAATTTATTTAATCCATTAACAAAGACTTGTCTTAATACAGTATGGTCATTTCTTATTAAAAAGGAGAAAATAAAGTATTCCGGAACTGTCTACATCTAAAATTAGGAACTTAATCAAGCCAATCATGATTGAGTTAATATAATCTATATGTTCATTAATTATAGTCTAATCAAGGTATGCCAAATTACTAATTATATTCTGTGGGCCAAACATAGATATTTATAATGTACTGTCTTGTACTTTACTGTACTGTACTCTACTGTACAGTAAACTTGAGTAGAGTATAGTTCAGTACAGTACAGGAAAATAGAGTAGAGTTCAGGACAGTAGAGGTCAACGCAGTACTCTACTGTACTCTACTGTACTGAACTATACTGTACTGAACTATATTGCACTGTACTCAACTGTACTGAACTATACTCTACCGTACTCTACTGTACAGTAAACTCAAGTAGAGTATAGTTCAGTACAGGAAAGTAGAGATCAGTACAGTACAGTAGAGTAGAGTATAGTTCACTTCAGTACAGTAATGTACTCTACTGTACTGAACTATACTCTACTTTCCTGTACTGTACTGAACTGTACACTGCTCAACTTTACTCGAGTTTCTTAAAATTAATTTGGTCTATATTCTAACAATAAATATTTGTTATTAATTACCAGCCTTGCTATTTTCAATGTTCCCGATATTTCATTGGGCCAAGAGTAGAGAACATAGACACAGCTATCTGGCATCTAACTCTTTTGAAACAGTAACAACATGATATCAACTGATCTGCTAGTTTATTCTTCTGGGTTTTTGGTTGCAAGCAAGTGTTTTAACATGCAGATTAATGTAATCTCCTGTTAGTAGCATTTTAAGAAATCCAGCGCTAAATTCTGCCTGTTGGTTGCAATTGACCCAGTACACTCAGTGGCCAGTTTATTAGGTACACCACCCCGTTTACAGAAATGGTTTGCTCCTAGACAGTGAGTCACATGGCTTGCTATATAAAGCAGGCAGACAGGCAGGCATCGAGACATTCAGTTACTGTTCGATTGAATGCTAGAATGGGCAAAACGAGTGACCTAAGCCACTTTGAGCATGGTTCCAGTATCTCAGAAACAGTGGGCCTCCTGGGCTTTTCACGCACAACAGTGTCTATGGTTTACCGAGAATGGTGCTACAAACAAAAAACATCCAGTCAGCGCAGCAATGCTGTGGGCGAAAACAGCTTGTTGATGAGAGGTCGAAGGAGAATGGCAAGAATCGTGCAAGCTAACAGGCGGGCCACAGGCAAATAACGGTGCAGTACAAAAGAACGCACATATCGTTAGTCCTTGTCACGGATGGGCTATTGCAGCAGACGACCACATCACACTGGGTTCCACTCCTATCAGCTGAAAACAAGAAGAAGTGGCGCCAGTGGGCACGTGATCACAAACACAGGACAATTGAGGAGTGGAAAAACATCACCTGGTGCATTGAATCCCGGTTCCTGTTGCATCATGCTGATGGCAGAGTCAGGATTTGGTGTGAGCAGCATGAGTCAATGGCCCCATCCTGCATGGTGTCAATGGTACAGGCTGGTAGCGGTGATGCAATGGTGTGTGGAATGTTTCCGTGGCACATGTTAGGTCCTTTGATACCAATTGAGCAACGTTTCCATGCCTCAAAGAATTAAGGCTGTTCTGGAGGCAAAGGGACTCCGACCCGGTACTAGATGGTTGTAACTAATAAACTGGCCACTGAGTGTATGTTTATGTAGAGAGTTGTCATACCTGTCAGGAAAGGAACTGAGTGATTGAATAACCTTTTTTGTTTGTTTGTTTATCTACCCCCCTATCCCCCCTCCCCCCCCCCCGGATCTGTTCTCCCCTCTTGTCTCTTCTACAGGAAAGCCTTCCAGTTGTATTATAAGGAATTTGTAGATTATTCCTGTCCGAAAGAGGATATTTACCTGGAATAGCACCCGCCCCGCCTTCCACCACAACCCTGTACGTTACAGTGTATCATAACATAATGTTGCATGACGGACAAAACAATTCTAACAAATATGAACTAATACATCTGACAAAAAGATGAAGAAGGAGCGAGAGAAAGAAGGAGAGGTACTGGTGTCTACTGTTTGTCCAAAGATGTTAAACAGTATGACGAATGAACAAGTAATTGATCCAAACATAGTGGATGTTGAAGAGGGGGTCGCAAAATATGCAAAATGGAGTCACTGATGAGGAAGTTAATGTGCCTATGGTGTCCTCAGGCTGTCCACTCAAAGCACAATGCTCAGATCATAGTGACCTGGACTGGAGTAATCTAAGACTAATCTTTGTGGATTTAGAGCTTGAATCCCAGGTAGAACACTGGGCTTTGTGGACTTGGTGAACCCCAGAAAGACCAGTAGTTGCTAAGGTAACAGCAAATGGAGGTCAGGAAAAAATACATCAATAAATGAATGAACCTGCCATAAAAATCCTATTAAATTACTAGTATTTGAGTATTCTAATCCCTAATTCTATGGAACCTTTAATGTTGGTGTGATACATTGTGTGAGGGAAAGAGTGATTCTGCATGAGCTAATGGTGCAGTGTGTTTGGAGAGGGTGATAAGTCCTGTGGCCTAAGGTAACTACAGATCTAGGATCAGATTACCCTACCTCAACCTTTGCAATTAAGGAGATGGCAAATGATCTGCGCTGTTATCAGTGGCTCACTCTGTTACTTCTTTTCCATGTGGTTGCTCCCACTAAAACAAAAACAAGTAAGCATTAGGGTCACACTGTTGATCAGGAATAGTGTCTTTAATACGCAGCAAAAACTTTGGTATTCTTTCTGGTACACTCTCAGAACCCTCAAATATATTCACATTAAGGAATCAAGAGGAAACTTCTAAAATGGAGGGTCCTACCAATAAAATGTTTTCTGTTCGAAAATGCTTCATTTTGTTTGTGCTGAACATGACCCTAGTTATTCTTTAATTTGTGGGAAGACTGATTCTTGTTAAATCATTAAGGGTACACTCCTTAATTGAATTACAGTATTGTAATTCCATTACCAGAAACAAAGAGATGGACTACAGAGTTTCCAGTCAACCGCTTTGGCTTGACTAAAACTAGCTTAAAAGCATCTGATTTGCAGGAAGGGTCAATGTGGACTGCCTCATCGTTCTTCTCATGCTCAGTTTCAACATGAAATGAGAGTTCATATTGAGAGTTCAGATGGGGTTGCCATTCAGATAACTGGGTATAAGATAAGGAGGCTTACTCAAGCTGTTACCCTGGTAACATAAAAGGGAATGACCTCTGATCCTCACAAAAAGGACATGAAAGGTGAAGTGTGTAGGAAATGGGTGATGGGAGATGTAGTTTTAAAGGAAAGCCTCAGTCTATTACAGAGGTGCTGACTGACTAGGAAGTACAAGGCAGGGGGAGACTGGTGTCTTTTACAAGTAGTGCCTCTGAAGGATCATTGTGGTTATTGCTATGCCATTTAGATTTACCACAAGGTGTGTTGATAGGAGAGGTTGAAAACAGGCTGTTTTTGTGGAGGAGATATGAGTGTGTTGAGATGGTAAGAATAGAGTAAAGTAAGACTAGATCAAGGTTCAACATAATAAGATAGGACCTCACCTCAAAATGGCCAACCCCTGGCCAGAGGTTTGTTTTTGGAAATAATGGCCTGGTCTGAAATCAGCTAATCGCTCCTACCCATTTGGTGCTTGTAGATTCTCATGGAACCAGAGGTGTTTGTTATATGCGGGAAACCACCCTGAAGTTCTAGGTGGAGCCATCCCCATACTGCTTACACCTTTCCAGTCTTCAGATTTTCCATCACAGAAGGGGTAGGGTTTAGGGGAAAGGGCAAATAATTGTTTTATGTGGCTTTCAGACACAGTGATTTCTAACATGGCTGACACAGAATTACATTCTAACAAGAACTTGTAACACAATGTATTGTTCTAAGAACTGTAATTAACTGAACATTTAAAAAGTTGTGAGAAGGAATGCTTGTCAAATGGGTGTCTCTAACTTATGAAAGCATGGGATATGAAACCACATTCATTTTACCACCTGTCAAGCATATTCCTATGAATAGTGACATGTATTTCCAAGTCACAAGTTTAAATTTATCTTCATCATTCATATTTTCTTCTGAGCCAAGAAACAAAGAGCTAAATTTAGATCAGATCCGCCTTAACGCATGATAAATGACAACTGCATAGCATATAATTGTTTTTGCTTATCGTGTTGTGTGTTGTAATATACACCTCCATTAGACTGATATAAATCTGTATGATTTTCAATGAGTGTCATTATCTTTACTACACTTTGTCATTCGGAACTTCTAACACGGGTGGGACGGGTGTGACTGCGTGACAATGACCTCAAGATCAGCCATTCACCATTTGACAGCTCCAACGCAGAACACCTGCGACATCGCCTAAACAAAAACAATTATATGCTATGCAGTTTGTCGGTTATTGCGGGTTAAGGTGGATCTGATTGAATAATGCCTGATTTTGAGACATTCTCCGAGACTACTTCTATTTTCAGTCCCCAAACAGTCATTCTGGCCACTATGAGGAAACCAAGCAAAGGTTATAAAGAGTGTACAGATGTGCCATATATAAATACATATATTGTAATTACAAATGTTACACTGTACCAATTGATACTGTAGCAATTTAAATGTTTATTTTATTTATTTATTTTTAAGTGTGAATTGTATTATTACATTTAAAATGTTCAATGCAGCATTTGTGGTGTCTTGTCATTATTATAACAGTGCTCTACTCTATAGCCTTAGCTTACCAATTACCCCAAACAAACCCCAAAATACCAGAAACAACCCAAAACAGCTACCCCAAAATACCTGAAACTGCTACACGAAACAACAAGTTGTTTTGGGTAATTATTAGGACACAGTACAGTTACTGTCAACAGAAAGTTAATTCATTTTTCAGTATTGTCAGAACAATCGTTGGAATGCATGGGTAACTGTACTAAGTATTTTCTGCCATTTAGGGGTATATTTTAACAAATCAAACCTAATGGTTGAGGTGACTAAACTGCTTGGAGTAACCCTGGACTGTAAACTGTCATGGTCAAAACATATTGATACAACAGTAGCTAAAATGGGGAGAAGTCTGTCCATAATAAAGTGCTGCTCTACCTTCTTAACAGCACTATCAACAAGGAATGTCCTACAGGCCCTAGTTTTGTCGCACCTAGACTACTGTTCAGTCGTGTGGTCAGAACAGGGCAGCATGGCTGGCCCTTGGATGTACACAGAGAGCTAACATTAATAATATGTATGTCAATCTCTGCTGGCTCAAAGTGGAGGAGAGATTAACTACATTACTACTTGTACTTGTAACAGACTATGGGAGGTGCACAGTACTACATAGAGCCACAACTACATGGAACTTGATGTGGAAAATAATCACTATACTTTATTAAAAATCAAAGTTATTCCAGAGTTTTTGTAGAATCAAGATTTACTTTATTACAATTCAACAAAGCCGGGCTGGTCTGCAGAGTAGCCTCCCCTCTCTCTTTGCTCCCCGTATATATAGTCCCATTCACATCCCTCCTAGCTCAAAACCCCTCCCTCTTGGGTTCTCTTACCATCATCTTCAGTTTCCCGCTCTCTACCGCTCCGCCCACTCCGTTCGTCTATGATAGCGGCTTAATTTGACTGTCATTCAGTTTACAAACAATATTATTACAATCAATCACATCCTTGTCATGCAAAAACAATCATGTTCAGTTTTAAACTCTGTTCAACTCCGGCTCACCCTGGCTTGACCTAAAGATTGATTGTTGGACATGTTGGTCCACCCTCAATCTCTCAAACGTACACAAACCTACTCCTCTTCCCTCCCGTCATGCTGTAATTACTCATGACTAGTCTAAACGCTGTTCAACTTTGGCTCCGCTCTCAGAACCTTGTTTGAGGAGAGATGCATTAGGCAACAGTCTGGTTTCAGTCTCTGATAAGGTAAGACAGCCATGGATTAGGTAAGAGCGAGCAATTCGACCCTAGGTCAGATCCCCATTTCACACATGCACAAGCCCAGTGAAAGGAACCAATCTTAGTTCTTACCTAGCAACATAGATGTCCGTGATTTAACTTTGTTTAGCACATAGTTCACTAAAAAATCCCCCTGCAAGCAGTAAAATTAGATTAAACAAACAGATAAAATACACCTTATGGAACAGCGGGGACTGTGAAGTAACATAAACATAGGCACAGACACATGCATACACACACATGATAACATACGCACTATACACACAAGCACACATGGATTTTGTGTTGTAGATATTTGTTAGTAGAGTAGGGGCCTGAGGGCACACACTTAGTGTGTTGTGAAATCTGTTGTGAATGTATTGTAATGTTTTTTTAATTGTATAACTAACCTGCCTTAAATTTGCTGGACCCCAGGAAGATAGCAGCTAATGGGGATCCATAATAAATACAAAACGGTAAAACGTAGCACTGTCCTTTGGCACTTTAGCCATAGGGCGTTTCAGAAATATTGTTCAATTTTCACAGCTGGAATAAGGGGCGCAATACCTGGTGGTGGTGGGAAAGGGCTGGTGTTTTGATTAAGTTGGAGGTGTGGCAAGGGCTTGGTCACTCACTGGCCAATCAACAAGCTTCATGGCTGATTTCGACTCGGTTTTCCTCCTCCTCATGAAATTGGATGAGTGAGAAAGTTACAGAGGCACAAAGATCATACCCCCCAAAATGCTAACCTCCCCTGTTATTGGTGAGAGGTTAGCTTGTTTTGTTGTAGCCTTTGTAAAATTCTCACTCATTATTATTCATGATGAGTGAGAAGGCTGTACCTCATGAGTACCGTAGGGATACATTTTAGGGCCACACTTATCCTTATACACTGAGTGTTCAAAACATTAGGAACACCTTCCTAATATTGAGTTCCACCCCCATTTGCCCTCAGAAGAGCCTCAATTAATCAGGGCATGGACTAGAGTCCAGAAGGTGTCTAGAAGGTGTCGAAAGTATTCCACAGGGATGCTGGCCCATGTTGACTCCAATGCTTCCCACAGTTGTGTCAACTTGGCTGGATGTCCTTTGAGTGGTGGACCATTCTTGATACACACGGGAAACTGTTGAGCGTGAAACCAGCAGTGTTGCAGTTCTTAACACACATACACCGTTTCAAAGGCACTTAAATATTTTGTCTTGCCCATTCACCCTCTGAATGGCACACATACACAATCCATGTGTCTCAATTGTCTGAAGGCTTAAAAATCCTTCTTTAACCTGTCTCAATAAGGGATCATAGTTTTCACCTGGAGTCACCTGGTCAGTCAATGTCATGGAAAGAGCAAGTGTTCATAATCTTTTGTACACTCAGTGTATACTGTATGTCAATGATATGCCAGATACAGTAAAGTGCAAACTCCTGCTTTATGCTGCTGACTCAGCCCAAGTGGTATCAGGATATGGCTTACATACAGCAGACCTTGAGTAAGGAATTTCATTTTGTTAGAGATTGGTTGACTGACAACAAATTGTCGCTACATTTGGGCAAAAACTGAATCCATTTTGTTTGGAACAAAGCGCAGATTCCTTGAGGCTAAACAAGATCCAATTGAGCCGACATATGCAGCATTTAACGTGAATACAGTCTAAGAGAACACGGGAAAATTGCGCTCGGGATTGGATCTAGGCCTAAGAGATTGATAGCTTCAGATGAAGTACTCACTCACTATGACCATTCCCTACCCATCAAGTGAGCATGTGATGCTTCACCTTCCAGCAGTGGTGTAATTTGGTCTTCACTGAGGTCTGGAGTAGGGATTAAGGATGGCCAGGATTCTCAGCTAGAAGGGATCAGCTGTCACGCCTTCTCCTGTTCCCTGTCTCCGGTGCTCGACGTTCAGTACACTTCTCCTGTTTTGTTTATCTGCTTATTCTTAGTATTAAACTCACCTTCTGCACCTGCTTCCTGAATCCTAGCGTATACGTTACAGAATACTGCCTCTGAAAATAATGAAAGCAGCAGAAGATAACTCCATCTTCCGGACGGTCGAGGAACAGGGTAATCTACTCCACCAACACCACGACCAGCTGGCTCTGCTGGGTATGACCATGAAGGAGGTCCTCCGCGTTCTCTACCGCCTCGACACCACCAGCGAGGTTCTCCATACCTCTGACGGGGGGCATCCTACCACGGGTTGTCACAGTGAGCGAGTCCCCCAGCCGTCCACCCAGGTCAGCAATGCCCGACTGTCCCACCCGGAGAAGTATGATGGTACTCCATCAAAATGCCCTGGCTTCCTACTCCAGTGCTTCCTCTATTTCGCCTATCAGACAGGAGCCCCCACCACCGAGAGGTCCAAGGTTGCCCGGGTCATTTCCCTGCTGACCGGATGGGTATTGGATTGGGCTATGGCCGTCTGGGAGAGAGGAGAGGAGGAGCTGGGTTCCTATGAGGTTCATGGCTCTGTTCAGGGCGGTCTTCGACCATCCTCCAGAGGGCAGAGAGGGAGGTGAGCGACTTTTCCAACTCCAGCAGGGTGCCCAGACCACTACGGAGTACGCCCTCACATTTCAGACTGTGGCAGCCTCCACAGCCTTTGTTTGTTTTTTCGTGTCTTACTAAGATTTTTGGATGAAGCCTCTGTTGTCCTGCGCTTGATTCCCACACCACATCCACGCTCGCACCTGACACTGCCTGGCAGGGTTGGTCCTACAAAGCCAGAGCCCCCTGATGGGAGAGCATAATATACAAGGAAATTCTCAAAGCTGCTAATGAGAACCTTGACGACCTTTTACCTAGCCGGTGGGGATTCCGGTGGGGTACGCCCACCCAGGTAGTGGCAGTGCAGGCAACACTGGCTGCAGTAACCCATGGGGAGAGGGTCACACTCGGACAATCAGAGAGGGGGTTTATCATTGTGGCCCAGGTGGCACAAAATAATCAAAGGTCTGACCGCATGGAGATGCTTGGGAAAATGGTTACAATAGGGGATCAGAGTGTTTGTGTCTCAGTGAAGAGGGTGGATCTGATCTCCATCACCTAGGACTTGACATAGATTAAGTAGATTAATCAAATCTCACATTGTTATCAATTTCTGCTCAATCTGCATGCTTTCTCAATCAGCTTTAACTGTACGTGCACTCGTAGATCAAGTTATTTCTCGAGTTGGGCTCTGGGATATAACGGCCGTTGAGTATCTGATTTTATGGTGGATTGTGGAGGAGGGGGGTTGAGTGTGTTGGAGTATGTGAGTATGTGCGTGTGTGCTTGTCTGGCATCTGTTGTGGGGGGGTGGGGATGT